ACCCGGAGTTCAAGCCCCACGACCGACAAAAAAAAAAAAAAAGTTACTTATGGGGGCTGGGAAGGTGGCTCAGTGGTAGAGCGCTTGCTTTGCATGCCTGAGGCCCTGGGTTCAATTCCTCAGCACCACATAAGCAGAAAATGCTGGAAGTGGTGCTGTGGCTCAAGTGGTAGAGTGCTCTTTTTGAGCAAACAAAGCTCATGGACAATGCCAAAGCACTGAATTCAAGCCCCAGAACTGGCGCGCACGCACGCACACACACACACACACACAGTATCTAGAGCCAGACACTGGTGGCTCACATTTGTAGTCTCAGGTATTCAGGAAGCTGAGATCTGATGATTGAGGTTCAAAGCCAGCCTGGGAAGGCCATGAGACTTTTATTGGCAATTAACCAGCAAAAAGCCATAAGTGGAAATGTGGTTCAAGTGGTAGAAAAGCATCCTTTCTCTTTTTTTTTTTTTGGGGGGGGTCCAGTCATGAGGCCTGAACTCTGGGCCTGGGCGCTGTCCCTCAGCTCTTCAGCTCAAGGCTAGCGCTCTTCCACATAAACCACAATTCCACTTCCGGCTTTTTGCTTATGTAGCACTGAGGAATCGAATCCAGGGCCTCAGGCATGCAAGGCAAGTGCTCTACCACTGAGCCACCTTCCCAGCACTAGAAAAGCATCCTTAAGTAAGAATAAGAGACAGTATCTAGACCCTGAGCTCAAGCCCAATTATCAACATACTCACACACACAAAAGTAATAATCCATAATCATACATCCACACACTACAATCCCCAAAGAACCAGTACATGCTAGGGACTTAATAGACATTAAACATTATTTAAACATCTTTGAGCCAGGAGCTGGTGGCTCAAGTGGTAGAGCACTAGCCTTGAGCTGAAGAGCTGAGGGACAGCGCCCAGGTCCAGAGTTCAGGCCCCACACCCACCAAAAAAAAAAAAAAATCACTGGTGACAAGATAAAGATATACAGAGATATAGACATAGAGCTTTTGTAACTATGGATTTATGTGGTTTTCTTTTTGTTTTAATAAAAATCAAAGGAAAAGGGCCTGGGAAGGTGGCTCAGTGGTAGAGCGCTTGTCTTGCATGCATGAGGCCCTGGGTTTGATTCCTCAGCACCACATAAGCAAAAAGAAAAAAGCCTGAAGTGGCACTGTGGCTCAAGTGGTAGAACGCTAGCATTGAGCTGAAGAGCTGAGGGACAGCGCCCAGGCCCAGAGTTCAGGCCCCACAACCGGACCCCAAAAAAAAAAAAATTAAAAAATCAAAGGAAAAAAGCCTGAAGTGGATGTGTGACTCTGGAAGACTCTAGGCTTGAGCAAAAAGCTAAGGATTCTGAGTTCAAGCCCCATTACTCGTACACACACACATACAACAGGCAGACTTTTAAGTTTGAATCTTTGGGTTTAACTTCCTTCCTCTGATAGTAGTAGAATCTCAGCACTTAAGTCTCATATGCAAAACTAGGGGTAACAGGCTAACACCCTGTCATAGAACTGCTGGGCCTATTGAGATATTCACAGTAGTTAGCATAAGCACTAACACTAGGAAAAGCTCAGTGTTGTCTGGCTGTAGTGACCAGCACCCAGCACTGAGTCTGCCCCAGAAGGGAGATTCAGCGATCATCAGCTCACACTCCCCCCTCTTCCCTGTGCTGGAGCAGGACCCGCACGACCTGGTCACCTAGGTTTCAATGAGGACACACAGATTCTGCCCAGACAGCCACACACCCTGGGCCTGGGTGCCCTCCCCAGGCGCGGTGGTCAGGGCTGCAGACGGGACTCTTTTTTTTTTAAGGATCATCACCACCGGATAAGAACCCAGTCGACGTGGAGGAATTCTTTCCTGAAGATTTACTCATCTGTAGAAAGTTCTCCAAGTACAAAACAATTAACAAAGAAAGGTGGAATGGAGCGTGTGTGCCAGGCCACGGCTGGCGGTGCAGCTTGTTAGCGAAGCCCTTGCCTGGCACACACGAAGCCCCGGCTTTGATCCCCAGACATAAACAGACACAAAGTGGCCTGGCAGAGAGCCTGAGAGTGGAGGCCCCGATCACACCTGCAAAGGCTGCCGGCCTCCCTGAGGACCGAGCCCACGGGGCAGCAGCCAAGGAGGGCAGATGCAGCATGCAGGAAGGCTAGACTGGGCCAGGCAGGGACCCTCTCCACCACCACCTGCCCTCCGCCACACAAGCTGCAGCTGGGTTCCCTCCACCAGCGTCCAGGGCTTGGATGTGATTTCAGCTGAGTTGGTTTAAAGGCTAATCCAAAGGCAGCATGGGGCAGCAGGTAGGGCCCGGCTGGTTGGCTGTTCCCTTCAGCTCCAGGGTGGACGTGAAAAGGGGCAGTTCTCGAAGGTTCCACGGGACATTCAGGCTGGACCTGGAGGCATCCATGGCCCATTAATGTCAGTCGTCCTAGAGAAAGACAAGGCCAACAGACCTGTGAGTCTTCAGGCAAATGAGATGTCCAGCCATAGAGCTGACCCCACAGCCAGCGCGGCAACTCTACTGCTTGACAGCTAGCTTAATTGGAACAAAAGGACCTTCACACACCATCTACAGTTTTAGCCAAAATCGTTGCTCAAAATGCTCTGTGGACAGAGGACTTTCCAAATCAACAGGGCTGGGCACTCTGGCTCACGCTTGAAATCCTAGCCACACAGGAGGCTGAGATCTGAGGATCAGTGTTGGAAGCCAGCCTGGTCAGACAAATCTGAAAGAGCCCTTTCTCCAAATAATCAGCAAAAATCTGGAAGTAGAGGCGTGGCTCAAGGGAGAGAGCACCAGCTGGGAGAGGAAAATGCCAGGTAAGAGTGAGCGGCCGCAAAACTGGGAAGGGGGGGGAAAGAAAGGAAAACCATGCGATTCAAGACAGCCAGTTCCACCTGCTCTGCACAGGGGGTTCAGACTAATGTGTATGTGTGTGTGTGAGAGAGAGAAAAAACACTTTCCACACAATGTATTCACCCAAAGCAGAAGTACTAAGACCCAATGACTTCTGCTAGTTTCTTCAGCACCCCTGCTTCCCACCCCTCGCTTTTAGAAATCTTTGGGGCGTTGTGTAGATTCAGGTCCACCAAAGCAAGGCCTCAGAGTGGCCCTCTTCATAAAATTCCTTGAAGAAATTTCCCTGATGCTAACAGACTCAAGAATTCCCCTGGAGGCCGGGCGCCGGCAGCTCACTCCTGTCATCCCAGCTACTCAGGAGGCTGAGATCTGAGGATCATGGTTCAAAGCCAGCCAGCCCAGGCAGAAAAGCCCGTGAGACCCTTATTTCCAATAAACCAGCAGAAATCCAGAAATGGCGCTGTGGCTCAAGTGGTAGAGCACTCGCCTTGAGCTGAAGAGCTGAGAGACAGCGCCCAGAGTTCCAGCCCTATGATGACAAAAGAATTCTCCTGGACTTCCACCAAAGCTGGGAGTGCCATGCCCCCCCACCCCCCGCCCCGGTCTAGCCCTGCCCCAACCAGAACCAGGATGTCCAACCACTCCCACGAAGACGCACACAGGCACCATGCCAGTTACCCGGCCAACCTTGATCTGACCTACCCACTCCTCATCCTCTACCCCGTCTCCCTGTTCGCGGGTCTCGGGGGGCCCCTCGGAAGACTTCTGGGCCATGATGTTGTCTGTCCAGGACGCGCCTGTCTTTGCATCACCAGCAAAATTACACTTGGTCACGGTCCCAGCCTCCAGCTTGGCCAGCGACTCTGCAAGAAGAAGCGAAACCGCCTGTCCCCTCCCGTGGCTGGACAGGTCCGGGGGGGGGGGGGAGTCTCTGAGGCCCTGGGTAAGACGGGCATGGCACAGCTCACCTAGGAAGGGGCCGTCGCCCCGAGTCTTCAGCCGCACCCCGGTCCCCAGCTCCAGCTCCATCGCTTCCATATCTGCCTCGGGCACCCAGAAGGCCACCGTGCGCTCGGGGGCGAGGCCGGCAGTCAGCGCCAGCAGCTCCGGCTTGTTCACCAGCTCCTGCAGGGCCTCGGGCGTGAGCCTGTCTGTGTCCCCCTTGGCCTCCACCCCTGCAGGCACAGAGTCTCGGGTCAGCAGGCCGGACTGGCAGGGGAGGGCTGATGCCACCCATGCCCCACCGTCCGCAGATGGGACTCCCCCAGCCCAGCACTGTCAAGGAGCTCCGGCCCGGGCTGTCCCGCCCTGCTGCCTAAGCAAGCCTCGCTGAGTGACTTCCTCTCTGTTAGGAGAAATAGAAATGGAGACGGGGCCTACCTGTCAGGAGGTGTGAATGGGGTGAAGCCTGTGCACTGCTTGGCGCCAGGCCTGGCACACAGCAAGCCTGCTGTTGCAGTTGATGTGTGTTTGGTTGGTTGGGTTTTGTTGTGTGTGTGTCGGTCCTGGGGCTTGAACTCAGGGCCTAGGTGCTGTCTCTGAGCTCCTTTTTGCATAAGGCTCGCACCCTGCCACTTGAACCACGGCTCCCTATCAGCTTCTTGTTGGGTAACTGGAAACAAGAGTCTCACTGACTTCTCTGCCCAGGCCAGCTTCAAATCATGATCCTCAGATCTCAGCCTCCTGAGGAGCTAGGATTACAGGTATGAGCACCAGTGCCCAGCTTATAAGTTACCCAGTTCACGATGTGGTTATAACTGCACAAAGGGGTGAGGACAGGGCCTCAGAACCCGGTGAGGGTCTGGACAGTAGACAGGAGGGCGCCGGGCCTTGGCACAGGCACAAGGAGAGCCCAAAGCCACGCTCGGGCTGAAAGACTGTGGGAAAGAGCAGAGTTGGGAAGGCCAGCCTGACCCCTGAGAGCAGGTGGGGAGCAGGAAGGTTGTGCCAGGGAAACCCCACCATCAAGGCCAACCATGCTGAGAAGCCACTTGCATATGCCAAGGGGGAGAGATGAGGCCAGCCACATGGGCCTGGAGGCGGGAGGAAGCCGGGCTGGGGGGCGGCGCGCAGGGTGGAGGCCGGGCACCCGAGGCAGGGCACCTACTGTAGGAGGACAGGAGGAAGCCGGTGTTCACCTTCCTGGTGTCACTAAAGTTGGGCTCGATCTCATTTCCCTTGGCATCAAATTTCCGCCGGTGAATGCGGCCGGGCCGGATGTACAAGACGTAGTACCGTTCCTGGGGTGGGGGGACAGAAGAGTGAGGGGCCACCCTGCCCCTTACACCCCTCACCCTCTGTCCTGGAACCCCACTTCTGTTCAAAGAAGCCCAGGCGGGCTGGATGCCCAATCTGAACATCCACCCACCCAGGCAGCCACAGCACACTGGCAGGACGGCACAGAGCTCCACACAGAGGCTGAACCCCAAGCTCTGTGACCCCCAGATACCGTGAGGCTGGAGTGGGGTATGGTCAAGATAGCATAGAAAAGGCACCAGAGCCGGGCCAGGTAGGGGAAGCCTGTGACCCGGCCCTTTGTCCCTGGACACCTGGAGGACAGCGGAGGGCATGACCCCAGGGCAGAGGGCACGGGTGGATCCGGTGAGGGCCGGCCTTGTGCTGTCTGGGCCCCAGGATGCCCTGGAAGATTCGGCCTGGCCTGGACCTTGACCTCCGGGGCCCGGCCCAGGCCATGGAGGGGCCCGCAGGGGGGACCCGGTGTGCGGGACTGAGTGGCCTCACCTTCCGGCCCCGGGCGTCGCAGACGCTGTGGCGGGAGACGTCGGCCAGTTCCCCCTCCAGCAGGACGCCGGGGCCGCTGCGGGGAGAGGGGAGAGGCCGGGCTGGGCGCAAGGCCTTCGGGGGCCGCACGGGGC